GTACAATATTTACCTAAAAATCAAAACGTATTTTATACTTTTTGCCGTCATCATTTTCAACTTATATTAAATTTTTAATCCATTTCACATTTCTACATCCTCCAGAACCCTTGTTTGTTGTGCTTGTTGCACCCTTCGTCAACCCTAATAAAAATAGAACAATTGGTAACTTTCACTATTTTTCAATTTCTACTATACTATTACATACATTACATAATTTTTACTACTATACATTTGTACCTACTAGATATAAAATTAATTGCGGTTTCATAATTTTTTTCCGTAATATATTTTATTTGTAGAAAATGTAATTTTAAAGAAAAACACCGAAATAGCCAAAATAAATGACCTGTTCAATTGTCTATATTTGAAAAAAAAAAAACAAAAAAGTCTGGGCTCAACCGGGATTTGAACCCGGGACCTCTCGCACCCGAAGCGAAAATCATACCCCTAGACCATTGAGCCTTGATACATTATATTCAAGAACCGCTTCTTCATTATCTCTCTGTTACATTTAAAATTTCTTCTTCATTGCATTAATTCGCAATTTTAACGTTTTTTCAAAAATGTACATGATCCAAAAACAACAATTCACTAACATCAATCTTATTTCTATCGTACCTACCATATATTAAACCTTACATCAATCTTTTTCTTCCTATTTTCTACGTTTTTATAAAAATAAATCTACCGCGATAAATTTCAATAATTTCCTTCTAAATGTATTAACTTAACAGTTTCCTCTTGATGTATTATTATTTTCTCATAACATCCTTCCCACCTCTACGTTGCGGGGCAAATCCTACCACGCGCAACCGTATAGAAAAGGGTGTTGCTCAAACGAGTAAGAGCAAGCTCAATAGAAACGGTGACGGTGGAAAGGGAGAAGAGAAGACGGGCGACTATTCAAAGAGACCGCCGGTTTTCCGGCGAAGCGTTGACGCGTGACATAAATCAAAGGTGCTTCGGAAATCGACGGATCCAACGTAAAACCCCCCATTGAATTTTTTTATCTATTTTTTTATACGCCGAAGTTTCCGATCGAGGTGAGCCTATGTTAAGCGGGAACTCGACTGATTTAAGAGCCGATATTTTGTTTAAATTCAAGATCAAATAGAGACAGTACATCAAATACACAGTGTAAAGTTATTATTTATGAAGCGTTCCTGTAATAATAAAGCTGCAAGGGCTATTAACTGACTCACTGATTGGTTATGTTTATGCGGTTGTAGTTCATTGATTTAGATGGGAAAAAGTACTGAATTCTATGTAAACGATAGCGCTGCATCGGAAAATCGACATTTCGACTTCCGCATAATTCATCTTCAGGTTCAAATTTGCATAGACGTTTTTATTTTCCTCAAAATATCAAATTGTTCTCTATACGCATTCTTCTAAAATCCGAACCAGGCATAAGCTTGGTAAAATAATAATAATTAGTTGAACCTCTACCTACATAAATACTTTATTCTTTGTGAAATTCTTTAATTCAAAACAACATATTGAATGATCCAAATTAATTACATCTACTACACAGTTTTTCGGTATTTATTTTTGGAATCGACAAAAGAATCGGTAACATTCCCGCCCTCGAGCGACACTTAAAGAAACACCAGATTGATTTCTGGAAAGACTTTGAAGTTTGATTTTCCTTTTTTTTACCGCCTCTGGGTCTGCCAGTTGGACTCGGAAAACGCGACTTATCGATTTTTTAGCGTACACTAAGGGGATATTGTCGGAGATTCACGAAATAAATAAAACATATAGCCGGTCGACAGCCGAAACGGGCGGATTTAAACTGGAAAATCCCGAGGTGCTGGAAATTTTGGGGTTTGTTAAGTATTTTGGTGGTATACCCTGCCATGTGAACATAGGGAAAAAAACATTTACATTACATAATTTTTAAAAGTAAATTTGATAATTTTATTAGAATATATCTGGCAAACTTAAACTTGTTGATATTTCAGATGAAAGGTTCTAAATAGTCTTCTAAAAGCTCTAAAAAGATTCTAAATAGTCCTGATAGCGTTTTTAATAGTTCTGAACTTTTCTAATTTATCTTATATAGATTGTTCCAAATTGTCCTGAAACTGTTCTTAATGATTTTGGGCTGTTCTATATGGTTCTAGAATTAGGATCGTCTTGAACTCAACTCTTTCAAATTGTCCTATAGTCAGTTTTAAAATGGTTGTAAATGATTCTGGGCAGTTATAAATGGTTCTAGACAGTGCTAAATGATTCTAGACAGTGCTAAATGATTCTGGACGGTGCTAAATGATTCTGGACGGTTCTAGGTCATTCTAAAACTGTCCTGAGCAATTTGAAAACGCGGCCAAGTTCGCGATTAATTATAATACCATCTCCCTCCTTCTCGAGCGATATTTCAATAGTCAGATACACTCTTTTTTCACCCTTTGTATTATTCCTGTCCCCACATCACCTCGAACTGATCCGGTATAAATCGAATATAATAAACCGTGTGGTAAAGACGGAAAAGACTGGCATCGGTTAAAAATGTATGAGTTAAATTACGCGGTTTATCCAATATTTCTTTCTTCAATCTTTGTCTAAAAATTATAAAATCTCCTCCTTTATAATTACTTTAATGAAGCAAAATAGAAATCAACAACCCATTAGGCGCATAATTACGCTTTGTTAATACTACCTGAAGTGTTAAAGCGATAAAACAAAACACCTAAATAGGTATATTATTTTTGGATACGACCCTGGCCGAAAAATAATGGCGCATAATTATAAGTGGTGGCCCACATGTCAATAGCACGCCCTTGGTTTCCGGCTCTCATTATGTTATAACCGAATGCATCTGCACTAACGATTGTTCTCCTTCTCTTTCATATACCTGTTCCTCGCAGAACCGAGTAATCGAAGGGCTTTTACCTAGCCGTTTTTTTTAAAGCGAAACGAATTATTAACAATAGTTATTTTGGCGGCGATCCGTTCTCAAATCGACGCTTTGTTAACATCGAAATCTCGGGTACTCGATCATTTACTTGCGTTTTATTCGTTAACAACTAACTACTAAACCCGCGAAAACCTGTTAACGTGAAAAACACGTTTCCAACGGATCATGATTTACATTCTAAACTTAAACACACGGTGTAACTTTTTTTGTATCCATCACTTTTGTATATACTGTTAGAAATTTAATTTCGCATAATAGGGAAATAAATGTTAAATTCTTAGCCGGCTAAAATCTAGTCTACCAGTATACATTTCAATAGAACGTCGCGATGAATTCTAATAAATTTAATTGTTCTACTGGATCGCACGCCGCGATTTGTAGAGGTACAAAGTTATTTGTGTTAGGTATGAGGTACAAAATTATTTAGAAACTACAATTAATAGGTTTTTTGGGGATATTTCAAAAAAATGTGTGTATCGGTAGGTACAGTTTTGAAATAGCAACAAATCTTGTTAAAATAAGGAAAAATAAGGAAAAAATAATTCAATTTTCTTAAAATTACACCTCAGCTCAGTAATATGAGATGACATCTGTATGACAGGTTTTGCTATTGTTTAGCAGAAAGCGGTGGACTATTTTTTAGAGTTCTTTTATTTTCTATTTTAAAATAATCTTTAAGTTTATTTTTGGAGTATTCTTTTTATTATTTTCTTAGAATTTACTTTCTTTTTCAAGCCATTGTGGCAAAAAGACATATCTACATAATTCTATTTTATTATTAGTGATATTTTTTCAATAAATTATCGTTTAAAAATTCTCATTTCTTTGTAATCGACTCGATGTTCACCCATCCGAACCCGTTTTGATACTGTCGAAGTGTTGAAACCGTCGAAATTATTTGATTTTTAATCTAACCAAGCCAAAGCGAGGTGTGAAGTCCAGTAGAACAATTAAATTTATTAGAATTTATCGCGACGTTCTATTGAAATGTACACTGGTAGACTGGATTTCAGCCGGCTAAGAATTTAACATTGATTTCCCTATTATGCGCGAAAAATTTTCTAACACTGTATACACAAGTAATTTTCAATCAACTTCTTGACCACCCTGTAGGTATACTTTTTCACCTCAAAAACAAATCTTTTAATTAGAACGAAACCCCGTAATTTAATTAACTATATTCCAGCGTAGATAGGTGCAGATTCGAGTCAATAATCAACAATAATCCGAGCCATCTGTAGGATCCCGATAAAAATTCCCATTTCCATTTATCGGCGCATCGAAAATAAACATCTACAAGTAGCGCATTGATATCGCATGAGACGAGCGACACGGGAGCATTTTCGCATTTCATTCGACCGAACCAGACTCTCCGATCGTCTCCTCCTCTCCGCCGGTTCTCTCTCGGTTCGTTCTTTCTCCCTTTCTCTCGCGCTTTCCGCTAATCCGCCGCCGTCGGTCCGTCCTTGTTTGGGATTTCGTCGGCATGCAAGTGGAAAGTTTCGCGTAATAATAACGCTAAATCTAAGGCGTCGATCCAATGCACTCGTTGTAACAAATTTAATCTTTACTATTTTACTATAATCTTCCGAAATTCGAGATGAGAAGTTTCGTTGATCTACAACTAGAGAGTACTTTATGCAGGATTTACAGTACTCTTGCGTAAAAATAACGTATTATAGTTAGGCTATTTATCGTAACTCTCTATTTTGTGTGCAATTGATTCGTTCCCTGATACAAGTCACTTGTGAGGTTTCGACGTTGCCGTTTTAGTTGAATCGAAATCCGTATAACGTTCGACGTAGCTAAAAGGAGAAGAAGCTGTATTAATTACGGGCTCGCAACAATTACACAAACGCTAACATTAGTTCGGCTCGATGCTAATTGATTAATTACACGGATCGCGAATGAGAAAATGCTGTTAATTACGCACCGTTGTTGTCGTTATCGCCTGGATATTTTTTTATATGTATCGCATGTCATGGATTCGCTCTAGTTTTTCTAATGCAAAATCCGCGATTTATATCGGATTGTATGCGTATTGTATACTCTACTATAGTTTTCCGTTTTGTTGCAGCGCCGATTCCTCCCCGGGAGCAATAAAACTGCTCGGTTCCAAGAACGGATCGGATAAAAACGATCCGCTCTCGCCGGAGGACAGCCAGGCCCTAATGAAGAGATATCTCCAATGTCCCGGCATGTGTAGGGTGGACGTACTCAAGAAGTTCGTTCGAAATAAATACAACGTCGATACCACGCTCTTTCACGTAAGTTTCTTATTTCATTTACTGTATACGAATATACTTGCGAACAAAAAGATCTTCTTGCTATTAGTAGATACGTTTCTGTACGAGTATCTTTTTTGGTTGCAGATTGATATCCTTTACAAGAGAGTGCCTCTACCGGACCATTACACTTTGATCGATATCGCTTATATCTACTCGTGGAAAAGGGTGAGTTATTATAAAATTCTCTATTACCATCAAATTTATCAGATACAATTATTCGGTATACATTATCACTGAATATGTGTTTGCTTGTACTTTCCAACTCGTTCGGGACAGTTTTAGAATCATTTAGAACTTTCTAGGAACTGCCTAGGATTGTTTAAAACAGTTCAAGTTGATCTTAAAACCATTTAGAACTGGCCAAATTCATTTAAAACATCAGTATTATTTGGAATGATCCATGCAGAAGAAATTAAAAAAAAATACAAACCCAATTTTTCACTAAACCTTACGCAATTTTTGAAGCTCCGTAAAATTCGTTATATCCAAGCTAAAGACACGAAATTTTCACCAGACATAGATTCATATAATATCTTAGCATCCACCAAATATCACCACCCCAATTCAACCCGAAGGGTTCGAACCACCCCTTTGAACGACACCACGTTCAAAAACTAATTTTTTCCTTCAATTGCGTCATTTTTCGCTCTTGTTCCAGAACGAGCCGATGAAATTCTTCTTCCGCATCACCGACATCAACAAGGTGTCGGAGCGCTTCGACTATTTCGATTCTCGCGATCCGGGCGAGTTGATCGTGCAATTCCCGCTGAGGAATTCGAGGAGCAACGGGACCGGAGCGAGCAAGAAGAAGGAACACGCCTTGGAGAAGAAGAAGCGCAAGCAGGAGTCCATCGGGAGCGCGAAGAAGAGCGCGGAAGTCACCGATAAACTTGGCAAAGTCATCGGGGCTAATGCGGAAGGAGGTGATAAGCAACAGAAGCTGGCCAGTAACAAGGAAAACGTGAAAGCTGACGAGTTTTCAAACGACGAGAGTCCTAAGAGGTTTGTTATTAAAATCAAGAAGGACCCGGAGAAGGACGATTGTGCGAAAACCGAGGATAATTCTAGTGCGTTAAAAACCAGTGTTACCAATGCGGAAGAGGCTAAAGAGAGTAAAAACTCTAGTAGTTTAGTCAATTCGGACGACTCAGGGCGCTTAAAAACCAACGGTGTAAGCCAACAAAGTGATGTGAAAAACTCAGTGTATACGAATATTACCCTTAATCGAACTAATAATATGGAAATCATTACTAAAATACAAAAGGTATCGAATAAAGAAGGCCAACCGATCGGCCTGAATATCATCGAGCAAACCTACAAAGCCAATGACACGCCCAAACCTCAAACTCAAAAACCACGACCTCTCTTAAAATACAAACCCAACAACTCCAAACTTCTGACCAAAAACCATTTAATAAGTTCCAACGGAAAATTAAGCATTCCCGATATACCGATCAATCCGATCGTGCGCAAACCACCGAAACCTCCCGTAATCCCGATTAGCGTAGAAAACGACGAAAAACTCAAATTCCTCCAAAACCTCCAATTGATGTCGAAAGAGGCCGTCGCGAAAGTCGAGGTGACCAAACGGAAGACGACCAGCCCGTCGAAATCCGGCTCCCCGAAAAAGGTTAAAATCGACAAGAAACCCGTCACGAGAATCATCCTCCAATCCAAACCGAAGCCCAACGAGAAACTGCAAAGTCTAATCGAAAATTGCAAGATCCCCTCGTCTCTGTCCATTACCCTCAAAGAAACCAGCGCGGAGAACAACAAACCCTCATCGGTGCTTCCCCCCGTTAAAAACTACATAGAAATCCTCAAACTCCCCGATGATACTAAAGACACTGCCGACAACAAAGACGCTAAATTAGGTTTCGGGCTGCGAATGAACGACGACAGCGAGCAGAAAGTCGACGAAGACCTGGCGGAGATCGCCAAAAGCCTCACCGAAAAAATCCCCATGTCGACGACGGTTTCGCAAATAGTCGGCCCCAAGCCCGAATTCACCATTCCCGTGAAAACCAACGTGCCGGCCAAATTCAACATCCAACCGTCTCCAGTACCTGAACTAACCAGCAAGCTTCTCAACGTGCCAAAAGACAACAAGCTCAACCCCCGATCTCCGCAGAGCTTCCAGAAAATCTTCGAGGAATCCATCAAGAAACCCGACCAGTCGAGCGCAGACGCGACCGGCGATTCTACCACCAATAACGCTTCCAAGCGGAACATCGTGGAGATTGCTTCGCAGCTGCAAATGAAGGCGAAGCCCGAGCGAGATAAAAGCCCCGTCGATTCGGGCGCCAGCAAAACCACTCCGAAGGTTGCCATACCGAGGCTACCGCACCCGAAGAACCTCAAGACCGGGTTCTACGAGAAACCCGACGTGCACCAAACTCTAACCAACTTGCATTCGAACGCTTTAGGATTGAATTACACCGTATCTGTGGGACCGAAAGCTAACGGCGTGTCGCATAAGACGGAAAGCGAAATAAAAACCACTGAAGTACCAGTAAAATCGCCTCTAACGGTTGACACGAAATTCCCTTCGCCCAAAGACCCGCCCAAATCATCCCCGAAACCCAACAACCTCAGCCGAAACATATCGCCTAATTTAAACTACAATTCGCCGCGAAACTCCCCCAAACACTCGCCGAAATCATCGCCGATGATCAAGCACATGTACGCCCCCACGCCGATGGAACAGCTCAGAATCAACACCTTCACTCCCAAGAGCAATTCGCTGGGCAAAACCTCCCCGAGCCTGAGCAAAGGCTCTCCTAGTCCCACGTCCAGCGCGTCGCCCAAACCCTCCCATTCGGGCAGCCCCGTCCCGGCGGTCCCGTTGAACCCCAACCAGATCCTCGAGCGGTTCAACATCCAGAACTTGGCGCAGCTGGCGAAGAACCTAAACTTCCACGCGGCGGCCAATTTCGGGGCGAATACCACCAATCAATTGTCCGCTCTGCAGCACGCCATGCTGCTGAAGCACTTCGAAATGCAGAACCGGCAGAACTGGTTGAATATGAACCAGTCGACGCAGTACGAGAAGTACCTGCAGAATCTGCAGAACCTGAAGACGGGGCAGAATTGATTTTGATATACACGAAAGGAGGTTTTTTAATCGGTATTTATTATTTTTTTTAATCGATGGAGTTGTTGGATTTGGGAGGTTGTGTTTTGATGTTTGGATACAGGATAGGGTGAAATTATGTTTCATTTTGGTTATTAATTTGATTTTTTTTTGTAGTTCAATTTGCAAGGTGATTTAGGAGAAGTGTTGTTAATTCAATTATTATTTTTAGTCAATTCCGATTAGAAAAAATGTCGTACTTTTTATTAAATATTTCAGTAATTAATGGTTTGGCGTTCTTCTGAATCATCGTGTATATTTTGACACGAAGTGAGTCAAAAATTTGAATTATCCTGTATTGATTTAAATACACAGAACTACAGTGAATGGTTTTTTTTATTTCAATTGAGTATTTATATTTATTGTCATATTAATTTAGCAAAATCGTTAAATCATTAGCGAATAAAAATCCATCGTGTTTTTATTTATTGTAGGAAATATTCCATCTGTTTATCCCGTTGACTGCCAACTACGAGATTACTCGTAGGTTGTGTTCTTGCCTATGACGCCGACTACGAGTTATCTCGTATTAATATAATACGATTAAATGAGCTTGGCTTCTCAGACCGGAATCTGAAAATTGCCGTGGCAGTCAACGGGTTAATCTCGTGAAAGACTATAGACAGTTTAAAATTCCTCGAAATTTCCCTTTGATTAATTAAATATTTTTGGATATAAAAGGAGCTATAGTCATATAAACATAAAGGTATCTAAGTGTGAAGAGAAAGATCTAAAATAATGAGAAAGTTCTGATACGATTTATTTATTTACATCATAAGTCTATTCATTGAACTTTTACGCGGATATCGGATTAATAATATTTTACAGTGAATAAAATCGAAAATAATCCAACTGTATTTGAATTGTAGTATTGTAGAAATAGTTCATTTCATAGATATTATAGGTAACATCCCAATTTAAAAGTTATAAAAAATGTATCACCCCATTTAGTGCAATTTCACCTATTTTAATGCAGTTGATTTTTCTAGGAGGAACTCTCCACTTACAATCGTTAGCAATAAATAAAATTTTCCAATATCCGCGTAAATTCAGAGAATAGACTATAGTTTTTTCCCTCTTAAATTTTCTGGTTAAAATGTTTCCTTAATTTATCATATAAAAAAGGATAATAATTGTGATATTATCCTTATGGGTTCTTTCTTAAGGAGCAATAGACTGTCTTTAGTGCACAGTCTCAAGTTTAATAAATAATAAAAATCACAAATATTGGTCGCGTTATAAATTGTTAATTAATTCGAAGGCCAGCATGTTTTTATTGTATGGCGTTTTTCATTTCGAATTTTATTAATGCGCATTTTCGCGCTTATTCATTCTAGTTTGTTTTCCTTGTTTTAGTTTTAACATTTTTTTGTTAAAAGTTCTGTATTTAAATTATTGTTATATTTAGTTCATTGCATTGCATTCGAGATGATGTATTATACTGATGTAATTAGTTAGTTTTAAGAAAAATGTATATTATTTTGCAATTTTCAGTAAAAAACTCATTTTTAAGCGTTTTCGTTTCATATATCCATCCACCTAATTATTCCAATTAGCAGTCATTAGTTTCAATTGAAAGCAATTAGTTGGTTAGTAGTAAAATTCCTTAAAAGAACCAACCAAAAAAAACACATATTTCGATTCTTTCTTATAAACAAGCCAAGAAAGCCCTATTAGGATTCCATTAAATATTTACCTCCGTTCGGTTTCTCGGAAGGAACAGGACGGGGGATTAGGGCACGTTTCCGCCATCTCTCTCTACCTTTCGCTTTGCCATTGTGCACGAACAAGGACGGAATACGTTTCGAGAATTCCGCTTCAATGGACGTATTTACTCGACCCAGAGGTATTCAAAATGTTGGAATTTATTTACTCACTGCGGTAGGTATATTGCTCGGATGGCGCTAACTTTATGATAGCCGGCACAAATGGAATGGCAAGCAATAATTTGGAAAGTGGAAATCTCTATTATCTATATTTTGTTCTATTATAAATTTTGGTAGTAAAATATTATCCATAAAAAGTGACTGAACCTGGGGACTGAAACTCGAACTTGTTGCAAGGCAAACATAAAAAAAAGCTGTTGAATTACCTATCTTACTATACAGGGTGTTTCTTAATAATTTTGCTAATAATATTTAAGGGGGCGATTCTTGGATATATTTTAAGAAAAAAAAAACTTCATACTTCTTGTTATTTTCTTCTACCAGGTAAGTAGGGGTAGATTCGCTAAGGAAAGCTCGCAGTTATTCCCTATTTAATAAAAAGAGAAATAATAAATAGGTTTCAGTATTTCTAAAGAGGAAAAGTTTCGGAAAATCGGAAAACTCGCCTGCGGTAGTCGTTCGAAGTTTTCGTTCGGTCTCAACCCCAACTTTACGCTAAGCGGAGGTTTATACAAATGAAACGGAAAATTATTCCCATAAGTTTTCCGGAAAGGTTGGACAATCCTATATAAATTCGCCGAGCTAAGGCCTAAAAATACATCTATCTATTTTCTCTCTTTTAGACTCGTAAAATACTTCTGAAGAAAACTTTAGAATTTTATTTTTTATGTAACTTATTTTATTAATTACAAATTATTAATATTAATATGCATTACTTTTAATTACAAATTACTTAATCTTCCCTTAATTGAATATGTGCTTGTCCCACTGATATATATTTGCCTAGATTTTTTTTTTGATTAGGTACAAATCTCTATTCATATTTATTCTTTTTATTCGAGGACGAATCCAAAAATATGAACCGGGTAAAAAGGTTTTAAATGAGTCTGTTGAGCAACGCATTATTATTAAATTTTGTCGAGGGAAAGCATAAAACCTACCAAAATTTTGCGTCGAGTAACTCTGCACAGTTCACTGGAAATGTTTTCAAGGATCCACGTCCACGATTGGCAAAAAAATTGCGAAAACCTAGAGTAGCAGCAATGGGACAAGCCATCAATAAGATACTGCTGGGAAAATTCCTGCTACGATTTTTTGGTTGCAGAATGAGTGGTATGATAGATACAAGCCCTAGAATGGCTTGTACTTCAAGTAAATGCTTAATTTCGTTGTTTTTACTTCAAAAAATATAACATTTACTCCACATAATTCTTAAAGTTAAACTAAGGTAAGTACTACGAGGAATTATTTCATACTTTTTTCTGCTAGCATTATTTTAACTAGTGGGAAAGAAATATGCGACATGAATAGGAAACCTTAGTGGCTTGATAGGGAAAATTAACGTTAAATTCTTAGCCGGCTAAAGTCTAAATCCAGTCTACCAGTGTACATTTCAACAGAACTTCGCGATCAATTCTAATAAATTTAATTGTTCCATTGGACCGCACTCAGCGCTTTGGTTCGGTTATATTGATTTGCCTATTATGCGTGAATTTATTTAAATACTGTTAAAATTATTTGTTTTATTTTGGATGATTGTTCAAAGTAGAAATACATCTAAAGGTAGATAGGTATGTGTGGACAAAATGTAGGTACCTACAGGCACATAAACATCTTTTATCATAAACATCTTTTAAACATTTAAATACTGTATAAATACTGTATAGGAACTCACCATTTCAATTACTACTAAGGTATTGAAACTTTTGTGAGCAATTGGTTACAGACGCGACTATCAGATTCGATCGTTCGGCTCAGTGGAAAGATGGTTTTTTTACAAGGAGAGATTACATATGGAAAAATAAGATATACCTATAGGTAATCAGAATTTCCATTTATTTAGCAATAAATTTTCTAAAGCAAAATTCCGGTTCATATTTGATTCGCCCTCGTATCTATAAGTAAAACAGAAAATTTGCTTCCATTTATGCAAAAACCGGTCCTGACAAACTATATTAACTCAACATATCCAAAGTAACTTACATAAATTCCAGCGATTTTTCCTTTCAGATATTACGAAATTCAAGCGAACGAGCTAAATCAAAACAAACCATTCTATCCCTCAGCCGGTTCTCGACGAACCGAGCCGATCCTCGCCGATTCTCCGATCCTCGTCAGCTCTCTAGCCTCTTATCATAGGAAACAGAAAGCGACGTTGCCGCTCTCGCGTTTCCCGTCTCTCTCGCTCGCCCGGGAGCGGCCCGACTTGATATCCTTGTCCCACTTCTGAGGCTTCGAGCCGGCTTCGTTACTACATAAAAACGTAAAACGTGTGTGTGTGTGTGAGAGTGTATAGAGTGTGTGTTTGTATATAGCGAGTCGGGTTACGTTACTCGCTATGCTCGCCGTATCGCCGGATTGTTTTGGAGCGGCTGCAGTGGCGTAGATAACGTAACGGGTTTATAAAATAATAGGTAATTTGTATAAAAATATACTCATGCGTATTCAGCGTTTTTTTTTATTAATTAGAACCGCTTGTTTAACTTGATAGGTACCTGTACACTGGTGATGTTAATGGAGTTTATGTTTACGTTAAACGATAGCAATTGATCAGCGTTAAAAAGTATAGCGCTGAAAATTGAATGCGAGCCACTGTTTACAAGTAAATATAAGAAAATAATAAACTGCTCCACAAAAGTTAAGGAAGTTCGCAAATTTTGCGATTATTTTAAAAGTTACAGACTTTTTGATCACCAAATTTTCAAATATGCGAAATTAGATGTTTTCTTTCATATCTGGAGTGGATTTTTTGCCCCTTCCTCTACAACTCATACTAAATTTGGCGATCAAAAAACCTGCAACTTTTAAATTAATCTCAATATTCTTGAATTTCCTTAACTTTTATATGGAGCAGTATATTTATTATCTAATGTAAAATAGAGTGGACTTACCAATCCCTACTACAGGTAGATAGGTATTAAGATTCGAGGAGTGCATATTTTTTTAATTTAAGGTTCAAACTCTCCACAGATTTACATATATGTTTTTTCAGTCTTTATCATACAGGATGTTGAGAATTTAGGCATGAACTAATGTCCATTATATTAGATTTTTATTAAATTACCTCTATCAAGTAGGATCCTAACTAGATACTTTAAAATACATTTAAGGAAAACCTATTTCCAGTGGCGTTCTTCAGGGGCGCATTAGGGAGAGCGTGTATTAGGGAAAAACTTTATAGGAACTTGTCATCTTATTTTTTGATGTTCTCTATGGATTCCGAGAGATTTCCGGGGACACCCTGTATAGAGATAATAAAAAAGATATCACTATTTTGATATGTAATTGTAAGGAAAGTGCAGTGAAGCACAACGCACATCATAATTTCCTAATAGATAAAATCAGTAAAATTTTATTCTTCCTAAAAACTAAAAAATAAAACTTGTTTATGTGCCTATAGGTACATACATTTTGTCCACACATACCTACCTACATTTAGATGTATTTCTACTTTGAACAATCATCCAAAATAAAACAAATAATTTTAACAAACGAAAATGAATTCTTCACCTTTTTTTAACCTCCAACAAAGAAACTCCGAAAAAAGTCGAATAACTC